GGTAGCAGCAGCCACGGCCGGTAGCAGCAGCCACGGCCGGTAGCAGCAGCCACGGCCGGTAGGTACGCGATCGGTTTGCTAATTTTCAACGCCTAATGTACGGAGAGATCTGTGATGATGAAATATGCCTAATAGGTGAGTAGAATTACCAAGGTTGGGAACGTATAAAAGTACTAACATCGAAAATTTGATGTTTACCCTTTACAACCCCCACCGCCAAGTTTTTTTGCCTCTTAACGTTTTCTCAAAAATGATCATGATACTCTGGAACGTCAAAAAACGAAGTTTGAGCGATTTTTTTTTCGTTTTTGGCCTGCTACCACTGGACCGATTTTCTAAAACTACAAAGAATAGTAGTAAAATTATTATTATATAACATCCAAAACACATATCTGGTTTTCGAAAATTTTCACGATAACAATACTTCGCCGCCAGTAGACGTGGGAAGTACGGCTTGATGGAAGCAACACAATAAGCAAAAGTAACGCCATTCTAAGTTCAATATGGCGGCTGCTACTGAATGAAAATTTATAATTTCCATGGTCACCCATATGATATCAAGTATCAAATGAAAGAGCTTAATAAGAGAAACACAATAAGTAAATAATTTCATACTAAATTCCATATTGCACCCTCCGCAAAATATAGATTTATCGTTACCTATATGATTTATATCTATCGGAATTTCATCATACAAATAAAGAAGTCCTATTGATAAAATATATGAAAATTGTATAGAAATTACCAAACTGTTTATTTGACATCATAAATACTAAAAAGTAAAAAATAAATCAAATAAATTTTTGAAAACAAGCTTAAATTTAGCCGTTAATAAAATGAACTAAAAGTTTTAGGGTGGATTTCACCAACATTAATATTTAACAGTCACTTGGACCAATGCGAAAAGACCTTATAGAAATACAATTTCACGGAAGCTGTCAAAGGTCTCTGAATATAAGTGATTTCTATTAAAATATTGAATAAAACCGCGAAAAGGCGACTGTAGTATAAATAAGACCACTTTTTGATTCCAACATGATGCTTTTGTACAGAAAAAAACTGGACAACTTTCGTGTATTTTGCTTTTTCTTATAAATATACATATAACAGGTCGGTTATCTCTTTAACCAATGGGAATGCGATAAATAATAGATCGATTTTCTAGCTGTTAAATTTAATAGCAGGTTTGGGCGTTTGTTAATGCATGGCAATCTCGAATTTGTTAAGTTCAATATACTGAGTGTTTATATGTTATCATTATAGCTACATACCTGTTGAAATGTGCGAATTTGTTTGTATTTTGCATGAAAATAGAATATAAAATGTATTCCGACCAATTCCTTATCTTTGGTTACATCATAGTAATAATCATTTATTATCAATTTATGGGTTAATGAATTTCTTCAAAACAATCAAAACAGTATGTACTCTCCATCCTAAAACACCGGTATGTGTAAAACGTGTCAATCCCTACATCTCCGTGGTGCATAATGGAATTACTATAGACATACATCTAAAATTATAGGTAATTACTGAAAAATAAGAGCTAAAAAAATTATAATAGTAATAAAATATTGGTGGTTGTTTTTTTTTTTATTGGTGGGGACACAAAACATATATACTGAAGAAGTTTAATTCCACGGTCCATGCTATTCAATGGAAACTCGGCTGACTTATGTCATTTCTGAGGGTGCGCCGGGGTTGCCAGATTGTGCAATAATACCCCGCAACGTATCCAGCTCAACATATAAATCTGAGATTGCTAAAGTTTTATATATGCATATAGAAATTCGGTGAGATATGAGAGATATAATAGCATATGTTATTAACAATTTGCGCTATCGTGGCGAATAAGTGCCTTTTTTAATGTCAAAGTAGCAATATCAATAACACAAGCTGTTATAGGATCACTCATATCTACTAAGTAAGGTTCAGAGGAAAATAATCTATTGCAAATACCCTAATATATATTTATTATACAGGGTGGCGCAGAAGAAACGTATATTTTCTGAGTGAATAGTATTTCGCAAAGAGAAGTGGCTTGAACTTGCCTCACCGCCAGCAGATAACACAGGCAATGCAGTTTTTTTTTAGCCATGGCACCGTGGACAACTGAGCATCGTGTGTTTGCCGTCGAGCAATTTTTCCGAATGATTCTGTAGTTACCGTGCAATGTTTATTCCGTCGCCAGTTCAATGTTGAACGCCAACGGTCAATTCCAGATCGAAATAGGATATTCCGATGGTTCAAGACATTTCGAACTACTGGATCTGTAATGAAGAGGAAGCCACCTGGCCTTCCCCGTACCGTTCGAACACCAGGCAATATCGAAATAGTGAGAAGAGCGGTCCTTGATAGTCCTCAATGGTTCACTAGGCGACAAGCTCCAGCTCTGTGTATGTCCCGTCGATCGTTACGACGCATTCTGCACGATTTACAATTTCATTCCTTTAAGATAATGATTGTGCAAGAGCTAACGGAAAGTGATTTTGCACAGCGTAGACAGTTTTGTGCCAGAATGCCCGTTTCAGCGATGTTCATTGGCCTCCACGCTCCCCAGATTTGTATGCATGTGACTTCTTTTTGTGGGGTTACCTTAAGGCTAAAGTGTATCCTCACAAACCCCTTTCGTTACAGGAACTGAAAATTGCTATTCGTCAAGAACTCGCAAGAATACCACAAGAAATGATCCTACGTGTAATTCACAACTTCCAAGAGCGGTGCGGTGTGCGAGTGCGAAGAAGGGCGACACTTGAGTGGCATAATTTACCATAATTAATTTAAATGTGCACTATTATTACTTTACTTAGCTGTAGTTAAAATAAAATTATCTTAAACATAAAAAATGTTATGCTTACGTGAAAATCATGCGTTTCCTCTGCGCCACCCTGTATAAATCTCATACGTTTTTCTACAAAGTGTGCTCAAAAGAAGAAGTTCTGTTATACCTAGGCACAGCGGATTGTTTATAAGAATTTACTAGGTGTAATCATATAACCAGCTTTGGTAGATTGTTAGATCTGGAATGGAAAGATCCTCTCCTATTTCTGAAAATATTTTTGGTATCATCTAACCGTTGCAATCAGTGCATAACAACTGTGAGATATAATTTATAGCATAATCCGCTGTCTTATCAACTAAAATTTAATACACAGGTCGCTCAGCCGTGGGGATGCTGTGGTCAGGATGATAAGTCACGGCATTAACTGACGAGTTGGGTACATCGGGTAACAACATATAAAATGAAACTCGCTACAAACTTCTCAAATTTGAAGATATTGTACAATTTCTTTGAAAACAATGAAATATATGTTTGATTTGGCAATATTTTATTTAATGTAAGTCTAACAACCATGTTGTTTTGCTGTACTGTGCTATCACGACCATAGAACACATAACACTGAATCATGACTCGGATAGTGATAGGACATTTTATGCATACCGATCGGTGGACGAAAATAACTGAATCACTCACCGCACTGCAAGTGGGAAAAGTGATTGTTTTTAGACAACAAAAGGGAAGGTCAAATAAGAATTCCATCTGACACGCAATGCACATTTTTAGAAGTCAGAATTAGGCATTCACGACCTGAAGCAACTCCTGCTGGTGCTTTCTACTGTCTTGTGCTTTGATTTATATCTTTGAATGCTGTTTGCTCGTGATTTGCAAATCTTTTTTTCGATAATTCACCATAATAACACAGAAATGGACAAAGATACGAAATATCTGTTTCATTGACAGATTACTGCACGAGACACGACATGAGACTTGTTTAATGTTGTTTTGTGAACAAATTTAAGATCAACGCGAACAAACTACTTTATGCAACACTACCACAAGAAATATAGAAACATAAAAAGAGTGGATATTCCAGTATTTTAGTCAAGATTAAGTAAAAACTATTCATTCATATTTTTGAACCGTTACAATGCATTCCACTAATCTCAGACGCATTTCCCAGCACTAACATTATGAGACACTAATTTCAAATGTCAATTCCTCAATATTAAAACAAAAATATTTATATGGAAATTGGTTGAAAAATCTAGCATGTTGTGAAAATAGTAGTTACTGTAAATCGTAGTTTGGTGATGGTACACTTAACATAACCACGTATTTAGGTATTGTAGGCTTAACGTGTATACGACAGTGTAATATGTAATTCTACAGTAAAAAAATCTTGGATGGGGACTTTTTTATGGAAATTTATTTTTCCAAAATACCATTTTCCAGCAATACCTCGACGTCAAATATCAACCCAGAATAAGTGGCGTTGGAGAATAGTCCAGAGAAGATTGATTATCACAGGACGGAATGGATGCGAATTTCGACACCTCAGAGTTGCCATATTTCGCCATCTAAGAGGTGTATGGTCACATAGTGGTTTACTGTGATTTGAAATATATTAACATGTGAATTATACACGTGAGAGCTAAAAAGTTTTATGACATTGAAAATAAAATAAAAAGGTATATTTGCTTAACATGAGTGAATATGGTGCGACTGATTATACACTGAAATCAAAACAAAAAAGTTCTCAACTGCAATTGTATGTACCTGTATGAATGTTGAAAATATTGAGCAGTTTCGGATCAGTGATGTCAAAATGTCGTTGAGAAACTGTAAAGAAGTGTATGAATGTGTTGAAACGCAACAGCTAACAACAAAGGCTTTTTCATATAAGGGTTTGGAAGTGCAAGTTGCAAATGTAGGATAAACTATAAGCACACGGTAGGTGATATGAAGTTAGTATAATCACATATGGATTACAAAAGTTTCAATAAACATGGAGAAACCTTCAACTAAACTGAAAAAATGGATTTTATTCAGACATCAAGCATTTTTTGAAAATGTTGGCTCAATTGTATATAATTTCATAATATTTAATAAACTGATAACTTCAATGACAAGCTATCACTTTATATTTTACAGTGTTTTGTTTTGAATACTTTGATGCTATTTGCTGCCAAAAATCTGACGGAGAGATCTTGAGGCTCACTGAGCGGTCTGACGGTCTGCTTGGTACTATCACCCTATTGATGGAAAATAATTCTTTGTTAGATGGTGAAATCGGCCCTAAATATATTTTCTCCAGATTGGAAATATTTTAACGATAATGCACCTTTTATCTCATTTTCAAATAAAAGCTTATTACGTTTTGACAGCAGGGTGGAAAGAGGGTGTACACGCTTTAGGGTAGCATGAGATGAAGGAACTTTATTATTGATCAAACACGTCCAATCGAAAAAACATTTAAGCTTTTAGTTCAACAGCTAAATAAAAGCTTGTGTTCAAAAATGTATTTTTTATTTCATTTATTTCCTTTGTAATATTATCCATATCACGCGGAGTCCTAAAACGCGGTGGGCAAAATATGGTTTTCAATAAACAACCAGCCGCCAACTTTCTGCCAACTTAGGACAGTATGTAAGACAAATTGATTATCTATTGTGTTTGCTTGTTTTATCCCTTCTAACATGTGGGTATGAGTCCCCATACCGCGGGAGAAAACTTTTATGTGGTGCGCATAATATTGCTTTTAATGAACAATCGGCCTTTTGCCAACCAAAAGCAGTATGACAGAAAAATTAATTATGTTTTGTCTTGGTTGGTTTTCCCTTTTAACATGTAGGAACGATTACCCATCTGCGATGGCGTTGGACTATGCGAAAAAAAGAGGGGGGAAGTCAGACATAGCAGAAAGCCGCGTATCTATGCTTCAGCATGGACAGTCCCGTCTCTATTATCTTCTATCAGATAAGGTACCGGAACTCGCCAAACGTCACATTTCACCGATACTCGAACCCCTAGTATAGTGGAAAACCTTGTTTTCTAACAGATACTCTCACCAGCACTTGGATCTGAAATACAACATGGTACTTACGTTTCTTGGCGAGTGCAAACATTTGGTCCTTTAAGTAAAGCTGAACACAAGCTTGCCGAAAAGAGAAAAATAACTATGGATATTAAAGACATCCTGATCAGTTGGTTATCTATGAGGGTATGTCATTAAAGTTGTCCGTTGGTCCTATTGTTGTTATTTGTGATTCCCTTGTCTTTTCGCTACGTTGTTGGTATTCCGGATAAGCCTGTAACAAAAAAGTGATTATTAGCGAATTAAATAAAATTTGCTGAAAACGGTCTGTTATGCTAAGTGAGAGTTAAAAATTCGCATCAAAACATTCGTGCAACGTACTCCGCATGCTACATACTTGTCCACGTGACGTGTCAGCATACAACATTATTTCACGCGAGCATAACTCCACAATCATCATCCAAGATCAATAATATCATTTTAAAGTGGATTTGATTTTGTCAATGCCCAATTTCAGTAATGGTTGCAACGATATTTACGGAAAAGTATAATGCTGGTTTATGACATCACTCTCCTTTCATTATATAGACATAGACACACTGCTGAAAGTGAATGACTTACATTCTCATGAATAACTTACGCGTAGTGTAGCAGTATAAAAAGTAGCAGTAAAAAATGGATATACTTTAAAATAGCATCCCCACATGAAATAATGTATGGTAACACGTAGACAACGTACATAGCGTGCGGATAATGCCGCCTTGAATTTCCCATTAACTGTTGCCTATACCGAAAACTGGCGTCAAGTAGATTCGACAGAAGTTATCCCCTCTGAGAAAGTTAGCAACGATCATGTATAGCAGAAAATTGAACGGATCAAAGCAGTCAAACAGGTTCATACATTTGAAATTTGCATATTTGGGACCCAAATACGTGTACAGTTTTGGGGTTTTTTACTAGCCTTGGAGGCACATAAATATACCAACGTCAACCCTCTCCCACCTCCTACAACCCCCAATTTTTTTGAAAATGATCAGGAGCCTTTGACACATCAAAAAACGAAGTTTGAGCAATTTTTATTTTCTCGTTTTTTGCCTGTTGTTCACTGGGCCGATTTTCAAAACCGAGCGGTACTTTCCAAGTTATAGATGGGCCAAGGATTAGCGGACAGACCGACAGACAGATAGATATACCGATGGAAATGTGCGGCATGGTTTTTCTTAATGTTTTTTTTTTATAATGTACATGCCATATGACATCCAAAAAAACATAATATCTCATTTTCAAAATTTCTCGTGATTACTATACTTCCTCGCCAGTGGCGTAGGAAGTAAAAATTGATAGAAACAAAATAATAGAGAATTTAGTTTCCTTAAAAATTGCTGCTACTATTTTTGTACATATCGAAATGCAAAGCCGTATTCTAACTATAAGTATCTATAAAAAAATTGCTATTTCACTTTGTATAAGAAACAATTACCTATTCCCTTGAGTAATCAGTTGATGCCATCTGTGGAAATTAATGAAGACTTTAAGTAGCTTTCTGATCGTATATTCAAAACACATTGATAATTGGACAAAAATAATTCCCATTGCGTTACTGTGTGCTCTGATAGTTCGAGTGACTCAAGAAATATGTTTGCCCCGTACAAGGTGTTACTTTCAGCTAAAAAAATACTACATACGCTCATTGACTCAGCTGAGTACATTTTATTTATGAAATACGTTATTTGTGCGATTTGTCTTTCAATCCGGAATTTCAAGTCTGTTTTCGGTCTTTTAAGTACCTATAATAATCAGTGGATTTATCCACAACCTCAAAATAGCAACTAGCTGCTTGGAAGTCGCTCCGCAGGAATATAACGCAAAAATCGTTATAATTCGAGGGTCACTATTTATATTTTGAGCCGAATAGTGAAAAAAAACTAATTTGTCATTGAAAATCACTTTACTGTTCAAAATATTCTCCATTATGATTTATACACTTTTTCATGTGTTCGAACCATTTTTCATAACACATTTTCCACTCCGCTTGAGATATCTCTAAAACACGAACGACGAAAACTTGGTCTACGTAATTTATTCTTAACGTACGGGAACAAAAAGAAGTCATTGGTTGCCAAGTAGGGACTGTATGGAGGATGGCCCATTAAATCACTATTCTGAGTGCTCAAATATAGTCTATTGTTTCACGAGAGACGTGAGAGCTCGCATTGTCTTGATGAAGAACGATCCGACGGCGCTTGTTGGTTTTCCTGATTTCACTGAAGACTTTCGGCAAACAAACAATTGTGTACTATACAGAATAAACTGTTTTACGTTCCTATAAAAGTACTGTTGCCACATGACCAGTTTTTTTTTTCGAAAAAAACAGGCAACCATTTGTCTCGAAGTGCTTCGTGCGCGACGAACCTTTGTCGGATTTGACTCGTCTTGAAACCTGTTACAATCTTATACACGTCTTTTGAAGCACAGCCATTGCATTTTTTGAGCATCTGTTTGAACCAATCGACACGAGACTCTTTTTGAGCTTTTGTCAAATTATGTGGAATCCAACGAGAACAGACCTTTTTCACAGCTAAATGATCATGTAATATTTTATGTATGCTATTGGAACTAATGCCTAAGGCTGCCTCAATCTCACAATATGGCATATGACGATCTTGCATTATTAGTTTTTGCACAGCATAAATGTTTTCTGGCACAACAATTGATTTTGGACGTCCTTCACGACTTTCTTCACCAAGAGAATGGCGGCCACGATTAAATTCTTTATACCGTCGGTTCACAATGCCAAAGAATGGGGCTTCATCACCAAAAGTCGAAGTAAGTTGATCGATGCGTACCTGCCTTGATAATCCACGTCGAAAGGCGTAATAGATCATCGCACGAAAATTTTCACGAGTTAATTCCATTTTTTCACTGAGACAAAGTTTTCAAATCGCTATCAACAACTTAACTCGTGCTGAGATGACAAAACGTTCTGAAGAAGCTTATGTTTAATAATGTCAAACTTTCAAATGGAAACGTCAGATGGAGCCTAAGCACACTTGATGTTCCCGAGGTCGAGCTGCTTTTGGTAAAAACAAAATACCTATGAATGATAATACCCGGGTTAACAATGAGGTGAATTGACCTTCACTATGCGTATCGGATAGTAATTAGTAACATTTGAATAAAATAAGTAAATAAAATAGTGAATGTAACATCTGAAACTTATTCTATGGCTTACATGTCGATCATATCCCTATGTCTGACCAATAAAACCACATGTCTTGACAGGTCTTCTTTACTGTAGACGTTCAAATCACAAAGGTGACCTTCTTCAGTAGAATGAAATATTTGCTTAGCTGTCTTCCAGGTGACAGTTCATTTGTTTTTGGAAATGCCTACCCCCAGGCAGTGGTGGCCTGTGCTGGTTTTGTGAGAATGATGAGTTTGCGCAATCTCAGCATTTTACGGGTCTTTCAGACTATTGTAGTAACACATTGTAAAGGAATGTGATAATGAAAATAAAAAAGAAACGAACTGTCACCTGGAAGACAGAAAACGTTTACTACAATAAAGAAGATCTATCAATACATGCGGCTTTATCGAGAGACGCATGGGGGATTAAAATGATAGTATTCTCAATTCTAGAACTAGTCGACCTGCATCCTATCTACATCATTCCCTTAACGACAAAACAACAATGAATTCGTTGTGATATTTTTAATATTAGTTTTTTTTTAATATTAATAGGTAATTTCGCATGTGTTTAGTGGCGTATTTTACTCCTGGGGGCCCCATACCAAAATTTTTTAAGTAAATAGTTTGCCAGCGGAGTCAAGTTTGCCTGTTGGCAAGATAAATAATCGGAAATTGATCATTAATGTAACTTCAGTAAGCATACACAATATTTTAGACACCTTTCTGCATGAGAGAGATCCTGTAAAATGTTCGATTGACACTTGGAATGCTATTAAAAGAATTGCTGGCATACACATTTCAACAACCCCTTACTACACTGGTAAATTTCATGCATATTCGTGAAACCAAGGGCACGCTGATTCGCGGACCCTCTTAGTTCATTGTTCTAACAGTTGGAAGGTCCAAGTGTCTGTGTGTTGTGAATTTGTGAATAATGCCAATATCACGTTCAGGTCAAGGTTCGATCAATCAAACGGTGAGAGTTGTCACTGAGTATCTTTTACTGTTTTGCTGTACTGAATGTTGTCGTGTATTTTCTAACCATGGTATCCTTACCTATAATCACGATGATAATTGACATAAGTTAAAAACCGTCAAGTGAGATATGTTTCTCAACAGTTAAGATAAAGTTGGGCGTAACTTAGAGTCAAACATTTATAGAGGTGTGACGCCCCCAGATCCTGGAGGTTATCAGGGGGGAAATTACTGCTCGGTTTCATTTGTCAGGGGAAATGTCGGAGCGGTTTGGTTATTGACACAATGGCGTTTGGCTGACGCGGTATCCTAGGTCTATGTGCCTGCCTAGCTTCCTCTCGTGGCAATCCCTAATCCTTGGAGTCTGAAAGTATCTCATGGCAGGATGTGTATAGGGTTCGTTAGTTTAAAGTTGTATGTTGCTTGGTTATCTCTAGATCAGAGCTAACGTCGCAGCTTTCGGGTATTGACACGGCAACGTGATATCCTGGTTTCTGGACTTCTCTTCGTAACAATAAAAAACTTGGCATATTTGCCTAAGCACCAAATTATTAAAGTATCCAGATCGGGCGTGACTTCCATGCGGTAGGAAGCTACCGTTCCCCCGAGTATGGACACGGGTGTGACTTCAATGCGGTAGAATGTTACCGTTCCCCCATGCAATGTGCTTTAATATCTGATAGTATAATTTAGAAATATCAGGGCAATTGTTATATGATCAGTCAAATGTTAAGTTGGTCACAGTATAACTGTTGTTTGAAGCAGTTTGTTGCGAGATTTTGATCGTAATTCAGGGTAAAAGCTAAACATCGGCGCCGTTAAATTATTAGATATGTTCATTTGATTTTTATTATGTACATAATTAAGAGCTTTTCCAACAGATTTAACTTATTGTCACTGAACACGGGATAGTTCTTTTTTCTGTGAACGAAAATAGTATAGTGGATACCAAACAAAATCCGATGCACGTCATTAGTGATGCACTTCATAAAAAGCATGGTCTCCAACAATAGACTACATTTAAGGTCACATTTCTACTTGAAATGTAAATTTCCTGTTCTCGGTTCGGTTGGTAGCGCCGTGCACAGAAATGTTAGGTTGCCGCGTTTTATTTGCTGACATCAGTTGTCATTGCCCTTTTGTCGTACTATTCTTTATTGTTTGATTTGTTAACGAGTTTTTGCGCTATTTAAGCTTTAAATAGTCGCCTTGCAATTAAAATTTTTTCTTTTCAGAACAACATTTAGTGTGAAGTGGTGTAAAGTATACAAAATGGACATTAAAGTTTTACGGTTACCTCCATGACACTGCATTTTTAACCCAATTGAGCTAATTTGGGGAATTGCAAAAAATTAGTATACTCATAATCGACACATTGGAAGAGATGACCACACTGAAAATGACTCCCTACAAAAATAGCAAGAGGCACTGCAGACTATTTTTCCTGATAGGAGTATGTGGAATAACTCCATTAGATATACAGAGGAGATAATTATGGAATGGTATAGAAGGTAACAAGTAATGGATAGGCATGAAATTCTACTCCTTATTATCCATGTCAACGGTGACTCTACTGATTCCAGTGATTCGGAAAAGTTAAAATATCAGAATATATTATGTAAAATGTAATCAAAATAATTAAAATACTAGAGAACAATTTATGTTTTCTAAATATTTTGTGCTTTTGAATATCTATCAAATCTGGTGCTTTTATTTAGAAAGGAATTTAATTGTACAACAAGTTTATTTATTTTTAATATAAAGGTAACAAACATTGGGTATATATCCAAATTTATTTCATTTAATGATTTATTTGCTTAAAAGAAAATGTGCAACGTGCATGCACAGCTCACGACTGATGACGAGCATCGGATTTTGTTTGGTATCCACTACAGGCAAGGTTGTGTGACTTGTCAATATGTTTGGTTTAGTCTTAGAGATGCATAATAAGGCAAATATATATTTCGAGTTAGACCCAAATAACTTGAACGTTAATCAATTATGTTTCAAATGAACGAACTTGTTTAAAAGGGAAACCTTTATTTATCGTAGTAAATCGTATATCAGTACATCCTTATGCAGACAGAGCCGGATGCTCTGCTGTTCGATTTATCATCCGCCGGCACGCATGACGTCACGCTGAGAGTGATTCTCATTTGGGTTGATATGGATAACGTGCATATTTTCACCTACAGGGCAAACGGTCGGACGAATTTTCACATATGAAGTATCGTTGAATTCGTCTTAGCGGTGCGAGTGACACTGGCTACATTAAAAGTTTATACAAAATAAAATGGCGGATTTAAATAAGGGATTCCAACCATGTAATTCCTGTTTCATAGTCTATAGCTTAAACGGCTTTTTAGCTTTACAATAGAGCGTATCGTCACTTTACTGTAAAAACAAGATAAGTCCATTTTTCTACATTACCTATATCTTAGTATGTTCTGTGGAGAAGGATTAACATGCTTATGACGATAATACTGCACTACATTTATCCTTACTTCACAGAATATCCTAAATACACGTAAGTGTGAAAATTTACGCAACTCGAAAAGTAGAAAACTGGAGTTATCTTTCGAAAAGTAGAAAACTGGAGTTATCTTCTTTTTGCGGTATAACATTAAATGGAAATGTTAATCTAAGCAACAATTTTTCCTCATTTCCTTTTACGATTTTTCTGGTCTTTCAAACTTTTCAGTTCCTTGATACGGAAGAACATCCTTGACACCATTTTTTAGCTTTTTCAGGGCAGTCAATGTTGCTGCTTCTCAACAGACCTTCGCCTATAAAATGTTGCTTTTTTGTCACTATTCCCTCCTCATTGAATGTAGTAAACATCTTGTTCAGCTTCTCAATTTGATTCATGAAAGCTGTGGAAGATTTTGATAATCCACCCTCACTAAGATGGTCTATCCAGGAATAAGTATCATTTGAGGAACTTTTCAACCTCTCACCCTGCAATTTATGGTAAACAAAGTCAGTTAAATTTTCCAGCTCGTCATACTCGAGCTCATCTATTTCTTAAACAAAACGTCCTCGTTATAGTCAGCTGATACTTTAGATGAATTCAGTTTATTCGTTAATGATGCGGTTAGTGGAATGTCTGGAGTATCCTGTAACTCTACGCTGCAATACTCAGAGTATGTGCATTCGTTTCACCCCAAAATATATGACCTTATTCTATACTAAAACTCTAGGGCATAAGTTGAGCCCTTTGCCTTTTTTCGTAAGCACTTCCCCAGCAATAGATGTAGAAGGTCCAGGTGATGATAGAGACTTGGTTAAATTTTCGGTAGGAATGGCATCATCTTCTACAGCACGATATCTTTTAGGGTTATAACCCAAAAGGGTAGGTATGTATCAATTGACCTTATCGGCACAAAGGTGCTTCGAGCAAACCCTAGCGCTTTTTACATTGACTTTGTCTTTTCTTTTTGTAAGATGTAGCCATTTTTTGCTAAGGTTTGGGTTTTGAGGAAAACTGTAGAACTTCATGTCTTTGCAAGGATTCCGTTTAGATTGAATGTCGGAATTATATCCCACAACAGCACACCGCATTTTTATCAATTTATCAACCACACAGGGTATATAAAGTATGTAAATGTAACTAATACAACAAGCCACAAAACCACCAAAAATCACCAAGAAATCGCACTAGTATTAACCACGATACACGTGCACTACAGTAACGTTACGAAATGCGCAACATCCTATCTTCAGTGTGTGTGTATCGTGTTATGCAGATGATACGCAACTGTGTATGTCCTATAAACCTGACCAAGTCACTGTTGCAAATTTATAAC